GTGGAAAAGACACATCTTTCTCCTTGCTTATTAAGCTCACCTAAAAATGTGTAAAGGGGGAATTGCAGTGATTTTTCTAAATGTTTGTATATTTCAAACAATGAGATGTAAACAAAGTCATTCAGAGTGATTTCAAGTGAAATGGTAAATTGTAGAGAAACTTTGTATAGATTTTTTTACAGTGGTGGCAATAGATAGGAACCAAGTGTTGCAAAAAAGCTTTTTTATTGACGGTCCAAACTATCAGTGAATGTTGAGTAATTATATGTTATTGATGCTGTTGATAATGGTAAAATAGTGGTAAATCTTAAAAAAAAAGTTTTATTGAGGACTATTTTTTACCCCTTGGCGTGTACCCCTCAACCATGAATGTTTTTTTTTGTTTTGTTTTGTTTTTTTTTTTTTAAGTTTTAAGCCAAAAGCTTATTGCAAGACTATCATAAAACAATGTCTCAGGCATCAGGCAAATATTCAGAACCATTTTATGTAATACTTTCTGCGGGGCAGCTTTTAGGACCCTTGAACATTTGGACATCTGGTTCCTGTCATAACCGCTGTGAACAATTCTGTTTCTGTAGGTTTCTCTAGAATGAAGCATTTCACATCGAACCACTGTGAATAAATTTGTTTGTATCTAAATGACTGAATTTTGCAGAAATTTTGAAAAATACTCTTTAAGCATTTCTACAAGTAGCAGTAGTAGCAAGAGGAGCTTTAATGCACAAGCACTAACAGTTGATCAGACAATCAGAGATGCTTTTCTCTGCCATGATCGGCATGGCAGTATAACAAATACTGATAGTGTATTACAGATTTGTAAAATACCAGTTTATCCAAGCATGCTATTTTTGTTGCTCAAGCACTTAATAATAAAGCAAACCCCTTAAAACAAATTTTACAGTAATCTCTGTTTGTGCAAACGGGTTTGGGTTTTAAATTTAGCAGCACCAGTTAAGCCAGGTTGGGTTGGATTGAGTGTCAAAGTCACAGGAAGTTTTTGGGTACGAACTTCAGTTGGGTTGTGTTCGAGGCCCTTGTAGACCTCTTATTCAAAATAAATGGCTGTTATTTAGATTCTGTTCTCTTTGCTAATGTAGTTTAGTTACATGTAGTTTTTCAAACCCTGAAGTCACTTATGTTTTTAATGGTAGTATCAGTGGTGGCATTAATTGCTCTCACGTTGCTCTCTTTCACCACACAGCATTCAGAACACAGGCCTTATGGGAAAAAAATGTAACGTTTTCTACTAAATATACCACACAACAGGACCCAGAACAGCTCAGCGATCAGCTTTTGTCAACAAGTGTTGGTAATGTAATAAAATGCTAATTGAAGACTCTGGTCTGCTAAGGTATCATCTGTCTCTGATGATTTGAGGAGATAATGGAAAGAAAACTTTGACACCGAGCCCTGTTGTCCTCCTCTGCCCATACGCCTGAGGAAAGTGAGTTGGCAGCTGATGCCTACTGCACTGACAACAGCACAGCTGTGGTACCAAGCGCATTCCCGGTGACCTTTCACCTCCCAGAGGGTATGCGCCTCACCTTTCTCCTTTATGCTGATGACTTATGGTTTCATAAAACACTGAAAAGAAACTGCATGTAGCGCAGTAGAAGGAACTGTCCTGTAGAAACATTACATGGTTGGTCTGCATAATATAGACAGAATACCACATTGTGATTGTATTTCTGCATGCTTTATTTGCAATATGCCTTGCAATAACCGTAATGGTAAACCTTTAATGTGACATGGTTAAAGAGTGGCCAACAAAACATTTTGACAGCAATTATTTCTTGGATGATACTTAAGACTTGATTCATCCCAACACCCACCATCAGTGTTGTGAGAATTGTCACACTTGGCTTGTGCCAGTAACAGAATCGTTTTATTCAGATAACTATGTGGAAAATAATCATGGTGAGTGGTTAAACCGGGTTGGGGTGTGGGAATCATTATTTGTCAACGATGAAGATCTGTTGCACTTTTTACTTTTTTTCTTCTGTGTCCATTTCAAAGTAGGCATGATACCTACCCGCAGCACTGAACGTGTTTATGTTTAGCTCTGGGAATATTGGTGTGCTGTTATGATTTGCATTAAATAAATCGATGAATGAACAACCTTTTTTAAAACCTGCAGTAAAGTAGTTTTTGCCATGAGTCTGTTACTACTATAACTCAGCCCTCACGGGGCACAGGCCTAGGATAGATCAAGTGACGCTCTATTATAATCATGCTGTCAAATTCTATATAGTAGAGTTTCCAATCTGCCTAGTGTGGATTACTTACTTAGACTTAGTTCCTCCCACTCTGTATGGATTATTGGGCAGCTAGCTGTCTTCAGTTAGCACAGTCTTGAGCAAGGTACCTTGCTTCATCCCAAACTGATGCCAAGTGTCTGCATATCCAGCTGCATTGATCTTCTCCATTTACAAAAAGGTTGATGTTTCTTTCTCTGTCCACCTTGAGGTATCCACGTAAATTCGTCATCGGCTGGACCTTGAGAACGGTGTCATAGGATGTGTCCTGTATATCTGAGGCATCTTTTACAGTGGTGAGGCTTTTGACCTGCACTTTCAAGAACTGTATCGTTCTTTACGCAGTCTTTACAAGTTATTCCCATGATGCATGTTTCCTATTTTGGTCGTGGTCTCCCAAGTTTTGCAAGCATAATTTGCTGTTGCCCAGACTATAGACATGTAGAGCAAAGTTGTTGGGGAACTGCTGCTGTTTCCCTGTCCAGGTAGTAACTTCAGCTGTAATGTCACCATCACACAAAATTGTTATGCCAAGATAAGCAAAACACTCGACATCCTGCATAGATTGGTTCTCAGTGTGATCTTTGCCTTTGGATTGTCTTTTTAGGTCTAACTTACATTGTTTTGGTTTTATTTTCATTGATTATCAGCTTGCCTTTAGCAGCAGTGCTACTTAATGCTTCTGTCATTGTTTGTAATGTTAGTGTATTATCTGCCAGTGAGCAATATTGTTTGCAAAGTCTTATGTGTCGATTACACCACAGTATGCTTTATAACTTTAAAATCCAATAGGATCATGAACAAGAGTGGTGATGATAATGCACTCTTGGCGTACACGTGTCATGATATTGAATAGTGCTGCTGTTGTTGTGTTTGGATGGAGCATTTTGATTCTCTGTGTAGAGATTTGAAGAACACAGTATAACATTCGGGTATGCCCTACAGCTGTAGTACGTTCCAAGCTTTCCAAGCTTTGATTAGCTTTATGTAACTAAAGTCATTCACGCAGCGTCATTGGACAGATGAACGCGCTCAGAGGAAAGCGCCAACCGCCAGATCTGCTACGTCAGCTAACAGACGCTTGCGCCGACTAGCATTGCGCTGGGTGATGGGGGAGAGGGGGGCGCCATCCTACCCACCCAGAGAGAGCGAGGCCAATTGTGCTGTCTTGGACTCCCGGCTACGGATGGCTGTAGCATCACCAGGGATCGAACTCACGATCTCCTGATGATAGGGCCAACGCTTAGACGGTTGCGCCACTCGGGAGCCCCAGACATCTGGTTTCTGTCACTACTGCTGTGAACAATCCTGACTTTGTCTAGAACAGTTTGTTTCAAATCAAACCCACTCCAAATGATTTTGTTTGCATCTTAACAATTTGCATGCAGAAATTTTGAAAAATTATTGGAATTCCCATATAAACTGGAAATTTAATGTAACATAGTGACTCTGAACTCTAACCTAAATCTCATTCACCTTACTGAATTTTTGTGAATGTTCTGGAAAATTGCACAGTCTTGCCTCAGCTGTTACAAGAGACCACATTTGTTGGTGAGGCATGGATTCTTCAGTTGGTTCAAAGCACACAATAAAAGATTTACTAATTTGTTTAAAGAGTTGTTTACATACTGCAAACCTTGGTGATATCACTGTTGCAAAGGTTAATATAGCAATAATTAACAACATATAAGGTAACAATATATTGTGCAGTCTTAATATGTGCATAATGTGATTTTCCAACCGATGTCATAACCTAAACAACCAAACAAGTGACAAAGACACTTGAACTAAGTTCTTATGACCAGAGGAACATTGCCTCTGCATCCAGCCTAACCTACCAAGGAGTGTGCTGTCTAACACCAGCCCATCATCGTCTTCTCATAAATCATTTGCCCTTTGCACAGACGGAAGCCACACCTTCCGCCTCTCAGTCGAATCCCAGTCTACTTCTTGAGTTTTGTAGGTGTTCCACTTCTGGATGTGGACCTTTTAATAAAACATAAATAGCCATGCTGTGTCTTTTTCAATTATAGTGCGGGGAGAGGATTTGCAATCTGGTCCGTCTGGTCTCTCTTCTCCACCAGAGGAGATGCCATGAAATATGGATCCTTTTATTTTCCTGGCGTGGAAGTGGTGTGAGCCTCTCTGTGAAAAAATTGAAATGGTGATTTACAGTGCAATTTTGGTTTCAATTATGTGTTATGTTTTTTTGTAGAGGAAATTGTATTTTATGAAATTTAGGCAATTATGAGTAGGTAATTTGATATGTATATATATTTTTTTGTTTTTGTAAAGCAAAACTTTTTTTTTTTTGGTAAATCTCATGCACCAAATTTAACTTTTTTGGTTAAGTACATGCAGGGCCTTTTCTCTGGGAGTGTGTCTGAGTATGTATGTCATTGATTTTGGGTTGGAGATTTGCTTAATGGCTTTCTATTACTGCTGACACCCCCATCTGTTATTAACCTGGCTCAGTTGCCATGGTAGCGTGTGTGTGGGGAGTGTTTCCAAGCTATCGGGATTAGGGGATGGTGATAGGAAATGGGGTTGCTTGTGGTTCAGAATGCACAGTACCAAGCCAACACGTCTCTTCCCCTTCAGAACAATTTTAAAGTGCTGTACTGTACCCCATGAGTATCCTTATGGCAAAGAAAAACAACCCAGTCAGGGAGTTTATGGGTTGCTGATGCTTAATAAGCAGGAAGAATATTTGCCAGTGACATAAACGTGTTCTTTATTTTACAGGAGGAGGTAGAGCTCTGGTGCCCCAGCTCTGTAACTGAAGCACAGTAAGGTAAGCTCAAAGAGCAGTCTTGGTGTGTGTGTGTGTGTGTGTGTTTATGTAATTGTGGGTGATACAGCAGATATATTTTTTTTGGTTCCCGCCAACCACCCCCCCCCTCTTCGGAGGACTATTAGGACTTTGTTATTTATTTTGTAATATTGTAAAATATTACATACGCATGTAGGTATAGTCATAAGTGGGGGGAAGGGAAACAAAAAAATAATAGTGATACAAATCAGAGAGCAAAAAAGGAGGAAAAGGAAAAAAAAACAACACTTGTAGGTACACCATATTTCTAGTAGTACAGCTCAATTAATAGCATTGTCCTTTGCTAGCTTTGCTAGCTGTGTGTGTGTGTGTGTCTGTGTGTATGCATGTATTCCTATGTGTGATCGTATGGGGGGGTTTCTAGTCTTTTAAACATTTTGTGTGTGGTGTAGTGCACTCTGTGAATGATTTTATACTGAATAAGTTGTAGGTTGGTGCTCTTGATCATGCGGTGATTATTATTGCATGTCTGAATCCAGAAATGTGCATCAGGAGCTAATGATAAGTCTTCCTCCCATTGTTTGATTGGTATAGTAATTGTGAGGTTTGATTTAGCTATTATTTGATATATTTTGGATAGTAGTTTTTTAGTAGTGATGTTAATAAATTCTGAGATTGGAATCGGTAAGTTTAGTGTTTCTGAGTTTATTTTTGGACATATTACTGATCTTAGTTGTTGGTTTGGTGTATTGTAAAAACTGAGTGCTTCTGATGCCATATTTCTGGATTAGTTGTAGGAGTGACATAAAGATATTGTTGTGATAAACATGGTTAAGATGTGTGATGCCTTTTTCCATCCAGGTGGAGAGGTTTAATGTTTTTTTATTGATGATAAAGTCCGGGTTATACCAGATGGGAGTGTGGATAGTTGGTGTGAGGACTGAATTTGTTATCTTGTAAAGTGACCACCAAGCTGTCAGAGTCGTTGCCACTGTTATATTGTTAAAACGGATGTTTTTTTAATTGACTGACTGATAAATGGTAAATCGAATATTTGGATTTCTTTGCATAATGCCTGTTCTATATTGATCCATGATCTGTCTGTTATGTTGGGGTTTTTCCATTTTAGTATGTATTGGAGCTGATTTGCAAGGAAATAGTGGAAGAAGTTTGGGGCTTCTAGGCCGCCATGAGACTTGGAGTTTTGTAATGAGAGTTTCATTCTGGGTGGTTTATTTTTCCAGTAAAATCTGGTTATTGTAGTGTCCAAAGATTTAAACCAGGTGGGGGTTGAATGGGGATCACTGAAAATAAATCGTTTATTTTAGGTAATACTGTCATTTTGATTGCAGCTATTCTACCGAGAAGGGAGAGGGGAAGGTTTGTCCAGCGTTCAAGGTCATCAGTTATTGTTTTGGCTAATGGATTAAAGTTAAGTTTAAACTACTCTGATCTTGGGGGAAATGTTAATACCCAGATATGTGATGTAATTAGTGCATACAGGGATGGGTAGTGTTTTAATTTTATCATTAAGCTTATTCATATTTAATGGAAGGATTGTGGATTTTGACCAATTGATGGAATATTCTGAGATTTTTGAATAAGTTTCAATAGTTTGAATAGTTTCTGTTATTGATGTGATTGGGTTTTGCAAGAAAAGCAAGATATCATCAGCATACAGGCTAATTTTGTGTTCCATGTTAGCTGTTTGTATTGCTTTTATATTTATGTTTTGACGTATTTATTACCCCGTTAATATTGACTATGGCTATGGGTGAGGTGTATAATATCAAGATCAATGTAATAAATGATTCTCCAGATCCCATCTTACGTAGTGTGGTAAATAGGAATTTCCAGTTTACTCTGTCAAAAGCTTTTTTGGCATCCAGTGTTATAATTGCTATTAATTAGTATTTTTTGGTGAGAGGTGTGGTCAATTAGATTTAACATTGTGCTCATATTGGTAGTTGAATGACGGCCTTTGATGAAGCCTGCTTGGTCGAGATGTATTAAATCATGGATTACTGTTTCGATTCTGTTGGCTAGTGCTTTACTTAAAATTTTTGTGTCTGAATTCATGAGTGATAGTGGTCTATAGCTAGAGGGTAAATTAGAGTCTTTGGTTTGAGGTGAAAGGAGATGGTTGCAGTATTCATGTTAGCTGTTAATATCATGTTTTGTTTAATTTCTGATATCATTCTGTGAAAAAAAAGTGGGGCTAGGATTGGCCAGAAATGCTTATAAAACTCGGCAGGGAATCCATCTGGGCCAGGAGCTTTGTTGTTAGGCATGTGATTTAGGGCATTATAGAATTCTTCTTGCGATATTGGTTTGTCAAGTGTTTGTTTTTGTTTGTCGGTTAATTTTGGTAGATTGATATTATTCAGGAATTTATTAATGTCTTCTAATTTAGGTTCTTGATCTGTTGAATATACCTTTTCAAAAAAAAAAAACTCGGAAAGTATTGTTAATTTCTTCAGATATATGTACAATTTCTCCTGCCGAGTTTTTTATGACTGGAATTATTGTTTTTTCTTTATTTCGCTTAATGAGATTTGCCAAGTGCTTTCCTGATTTGTTAATGTATTCAGTGTTTCATGTCTGAGTGTTTGTATCCGGGATTTGGTTTTCTTATTTGTCAATTCATTAAGCTCATGTTTAAGTTCTCTTAACATATTTTGTTTGTCTTCAGATGGGTTGTTGATGATCATGTTCTCCAATTCTTTAATTTTTGATTCTAGATTTACTTAATTTTCTTTTTTTTTTCTTTTTCTTGTAAGTAGCATATGATATATTTTTCCTCTTAATACTGCTTTGCCCGTCTCCCATAACAGTGATAACGAGATTTCTGGAGAATCATTTATTTCTAGAAAGGATGAGTAATGATGTGTTAAAGCGCCATGTAAAGGTTGTTTTTGAGTCGTTGGTTTCCATTCCATATGAGTGAGACGGGGGCATGGTCACTGATTGTAATAGGGTGAATTTGTATATGTGAGATGTTTGAATTATGTGCTGAAGAATGGAAGTGAATTCTTTAGTATTAGGATGTCTTACTCGCCATCCATCGCCAAGACCATAATCATGCATGAACTGTTTTACATACATGCATGAACGTGAGAGCCAATACCACATATATTCCATGTAATAAAATTCAGCTGTGACATGATAATAATGTTAAGTGTTCGTTGGTTTCCTGAATGTTTTCGCCAGGTTGTCTGAAGGTGTGTGTGCTGCTATGAAGATCATTCTGTGTAGATAGAAATAATTTGTTATAAATACTCCTATTAGTGGTTGAAAGCTTGTGTGTGAGCAAATTGATATAAGGTGCACAAAAGTATGTATTGGCAGGCAGGCAGGCAGGCAGGCAGGTAGGTTTCGTATCCCCTTATCTGATCTGCTCTTCACGACGATGGGTTTCAAAACAGCCAAGGTGTGTTATCAACACAATTTCTGCTGAATCACCCAGATGATAGAGTCAGAATTTAGTGCCAACAGAATGAATCCATGGACCCATCCTGCCTTGTGTTAACAGTCCAGGCTGGTGGAGGTGGTTGTAATGTTTTCTTGGCATATTTTTGGCCTCTTAATCCCTATCAGTCATCACTTGAATACCACAGCCTATTTGAGTATTGTTGCTAACCACGTGCAACTTTTCATGGCCACAATTTATCCATCTTCTGTTGGCTACTTCGAACATGATAATGCACACAAAACAATGTCACAAAGCAAGAGTCGTCTCAAACTGGCTTTATGAACATGAAAATTTCATTGTTCTTCAGCGGCCTTCCAAATCACCAGAACTGAATCCAACTGAATGCCTTGGGGATGTGGTAGAACCAGAGATTCGCAACATGAATCTGAAGGAAAGTGAATCTAAAAAATCTGCAGGGATTGCATCATGCGGTCATGTCAACTTGGACCAGAATCTCAGAGGAATGTTTCCAACATTTTGTGCAATCCATGCAATGAAGACTTAAGGCTGTTTTAAAAGCAAAGCCATACCCAGTATTGATATAGTGTTTCAAATAAATTGGTATATATAACCTTTGGTATAAAGGTGTGATGATTAGGTGTCCACATACTTTTGGCAGAAGAGTGTAGCTCTGACATCTGTAACCCAGTTTTAGCTGCTTTTGGAGATGCTAGCATGATGTGTGATCTGTTCCTTTTGATGTTTGTGAAAAAGTAGTTTCTGAGACATAGGGTTAGAGGCGTTCTTCCACTGAGTTTGCAGTTCCTGTCAACATCAGCATGACTTCAGTTCAGAGTTTTATTTAGTGACGTATGTAGCTGTGTAACTAAACTCGAAACCCTCCACACATATTTCCCCATTGAGGATCTATATTAGTGAGTTCTCTTTTTGAATCTTTTTATCCCAGTGTTTTAAGTGGAACTGGAATGGTTTCACGTTTAGCAGCTTTTGGCACAGTAGTACCAAGCTGTCAGGCAATGCTCTGCAATTACCCAACACCTGGAATCTACTAGGGGTTTCTCCTTCCCTCTCGTATACTGCTCCTTTGCTAGAGCTGATCGTTTTGAGTAGGAACAGCTGTAATTAACAGTTGAAAACCATAATGCCTCTCTGATAGTGGCAGCAGGGCCTGAAGGAGGGTGTGGAACAGTCCCTTTGATGATATTCTTTACTTTCGAAATCAATATTCTTATGCAGAACCTCTAAAGGACCTAGTATACCATGTATTTGACATTTTACAATGTCACCCCTACTTTTATACAATTACTGTGTTTCAGTGAGATATGATTCATGTAATATTTTTTTCAAGATTTTAAGACTTTTCAGAGTCTTTTTTTAATGTGCAGTGTGGTGAGTAATTGATGACATTGCTGCCAGATTTTTTGTCAAATGTCAAATGTGCTTCAAGATACTACAGGTGTTGAAGCCTGCCATCTGACTCCTTGTAATAATGCGCCTGTCTGTCAACAAAAGATCCACCATAAACATTCATTTGCAAAGAACTGTGTATACATACAACCATAGTGTACTATGCGAAGGAGTATATAGT